TTATTATTATTATTATTATTATTATTATTATTATTATTATATATTATATATATATATATATATATATATATATATATATATATATATATATATATATATATATGCAAGTTTGAGAACTACCAATACTATTACGTTCATGATGGTTTTATCGCCGACAGGGCGACATGGGATTTCCCGGACTGAAAGGTGACCAGGGTTTGCCGGGACCACAGGGCCATCCCGGTGCACCGGGCCCACCCGGAAACGTCAGCGATTACGGCGATGTATTGTCACGGTTCGTGGCCACGCCGGTTTATGGGAGCCAGCCGGGTGAAAAGGGCTCCAAGGGCGAACAGGGCGAGTCTGGCGACAGAGGTCAGCAAGGTCAGAAAGGTACTTAGTCGGCGAATCGAAAGTGCAGCCGGTTACTACGGAGTGGCCAGATACTGTGCCTCTGGCTCGGACATTTTTGCGAAGGCAAAGGCTGCTGCAAACGACCTCGGAAACCTTTCATTTCCCGGAAGTAACATAATTTTGGGATACATTGTATCATACAGCGAACATGATAAAATTAGGCATGCTATTGCATCGTTATATGTTACACGAGACAATATCATGTAACCTTGACAGCACCATAATCGTTTGGCGCTCTTGTCACGTCCGCCGAGAGGGGTGGTTCGAGGGTGGATCGTTATTTTTTCGGGCACGCCGTCGATCAGAGGTTCTTACATTGATATCATGGCGATGTTAAATGTCACCATTAAATACGATTAGGTTGATTTATCCGATAAGTAATCCTTGAAGTGCTGCGTAAACGAATTCAATCTCGTTAGAATCGCGTGGAATAAGCGCGGGCCCGCTACGCGCGCACACCGATTCGCCGCTAAATGCATTAAATGCATACCTCTAACGGTGGACATGCTGGTAAGAGGCGCTTAATCTTTGCCCGCTTCCGCAAAACTGTGTAAATCCGTTGATTCTGTGATTGATACCATTACTGGAAGAATTCTTTATTTAACGGCGGAAGGACCGCCGCGCCGTTTTCTCTCGCGTACCGTCGTGTGGCCCGCTGATACATCTGTGTGCATACCGTGGAAATTGAGCACTTTATTCCGGATCAAATTGTCTTCGTTCATTGCCGGTTCCCCCGCGGATAATAAATCATTCCTCTTATCCTTCGAGCCCGCTAACGCGCTAATTCCAATGTTTGATGGGGTCGGCGACACTCGAAAGGAAATAATTCCCTTTAATTAAACTGTGTCAACATTCGCGTATTTAAAGGTCGTGCCCAATCGTTTTAATGGCTCTGACTGTACCCCCCCCCCCCCGAGTATTTCCACTTGCTCTGTTGCCCCTTCGTACGGATTTTTTTCGTTGAATATTCAATTTATAAGAACACTTCGGATTTATATTGCTTAATAGGTACAATATTTTTATTCTAAACTCTTGAGCTATTAAAAATTTATAATAAATAGTAATACTAAATAATATTAATACTATATTAATACTATATTAATACTTAATAATATTAATACTATATTAATACTGAATAATATTAATGCTATATTAATACTATATTAATACTAAATAATATTAATACTACATTAATTAAATGTATTCAATATTTCACGATTTTTCCTTTGGCTTAGAAAATTGTTATACCATAACGCATTGATTGACATAATTAATAACAATTCTTTTGAGCGTAGTACACTATTGGCAAATCAACAATATTTAAGTAAAATGTTGTCGCTCTTGATTACAATGTATTTTTATATGTAAATAGAATTGCAATTCGAGGTTGCACTTATTAACAACGTATTTAAATGTTCAATTTGCGAACAATGTTTCCGAATATTAGAATATATTAAATATAGCACGCTACAGTACTAAAAGGAGATTAACAAAGTAAAGAAATCTGCTAGAATTTAAATTGTTTATAAAACACAACGATACATTTCTTTTTTTTTATATTACCGATTTCTCTTTTATCTTCGCCTTGAAATCATTAATAAATCGTTCGCTTCTATACACAATGTATCGTTTATTATTATAAAAAAAAAATACGTATCGTTTTCGCATGCTGTTTCAGAAAATCATAATTTCAGTACTCACTATACCGATGACACGAAGGCGACGGGCAGAGAGGACGGATCGCGATTGACCTAAATACACATCCATTCGAACTGATTATAAATCAATTTGTTGCAATCTGTTGCGATGCCCGTAAACTCGTACCCTTTTATTAATCACTGAATGTATGCCGTTCGCGTGACAGAACAGCGAATGCGCGAATCTCTTAACACGCGTGCAATTGCCGTGATACGAAATATTCTGTTATTTTGCGTGCCGATTTGAAATAATCAATAAACGTCAAATACATGAAGCAATTTGTAAAAATACTTTCACTGGTAGTAGTACAGTACGAGTGTAGTAATAGTAACTACAGCTGCGTTAACTGGTGTTTAAAAAAATATAATTATGCAATAATTATATAATATTATGTAGTAATATATAATATAATAATAATTATAATATATGATAATATAACATTATATTATATAGTACAATATTATATAATAATAAAAAAGTAAGGATGACCCTAAAATCTCGAAAAATTCTCCAGCCGCGAAGAAATGATTACGTTCACGTTACACGTCCCTCCGAACCGACAAACTTTTGTTAATAAAGTGTATCGGTACCTCCAAAAATAACAAAGATACTAAGATATCTTCGACACACCCTGTATATTAAGACACCCTGTACATTGGAGGATTTCAATTGCCAACAACTTCGAAAGCCAGACGAATAAGATAGTTCCGAGTACGCTTTGAAATTATGATTACGTGTGATCAAGGTGAACAAGGAGAACGAGGTCCTCCAGGTCGGGATGGAATTTCAGGAGTCGACGGGACGCCAGGCACGCCTGGATATGCTGGTCCGAAGGGAGCGGCAGGATTACTAGGACTACCGGGGCCGCAAGGATTTCAAGGACCTCCGGGCGAAATTGGCCTAACGGGTCCTCCCGGAGCACAAGGTCACAAGGGCGAGCCTGGTGAACCTGGACGAAACGGTAGCTAAATAAATATACTCAAAATCATTCCACTATTAAACCCTCCATCTAAACATAATCATTTTACCTAGGTCTACCAGGCCCGACCATTGGCTCTGCAACGCCGGGCCTACCAGGCCCTGAAGGTCCTCCGGGCCCACCCGGAGAAGACGGTCTTCCTGGTCCGAAGGGCGATCCGGGCCCCGTTGGTCCAGAAGGCTCGCCAGGATTGAACGGACAAACTGGCTCCGCGGGTTTCCCAGGAGCGCAGGTAAACTCGCGCGGACATTACAAGAAGATCACCAACTGTTAGATCCTAGAAGATACGGCATTACTTTATTATGGCACCCAGGGACCACCGGGTCGACCGGGGGAACCGGGTCCTCCGGGACAACGTGGCGCCGACGGCTTGATTGGAATGCCGGGAGCATCAGGATCCGAGGGGAAGCCTGGCCTCAAAGGCGACAGAGGCCCACCGGGGGAGCGAGGTCCTACGGGACTACAAGGCCTCCCTGGAAACCTTGTGAGTCTATTTCCGTCGACTGTCGAATTCGATGCACGCACATGTGAAATAAACGAGAAGTCCGATCCAGGGGCCTGTTGGTTTGCCGGGAGCCACGGGTTTCCCAGGGTTGGAAGGACGACCCGGTCCGTCGGGCCCGCCTGGTCCTCCAGGACCGCCAGGATCTTCCGACGCGAAAGCGGATATGTTCACCACGAACGACGTTCTGGAGACGATCGGTAGCCCGGGCATCAGTGGGCCCAGAGGTGTGCCAGGTTCTCCAGGATTGGTGAGCGTCGTCGAGTTTTATCATTTCTCGTGTGACTACACGGTTCACGCCACTGTGGCCTCGTTTTGTCAGCCAGGTGAAAGAGGACCGTCCGGGGAGCGGGGCCCGGAAGGCCAGATAGGACCGGTCGGCATGCCTGGAAAGGACGGGGCGCCGGGACTTCAGGGACCGTCGGGGGTCAGAGGTCAAACGGGGATGCCGGGCGTTCAAGGACCGCCGGGCCGCAGTATCAGCGAGTCGGAGATTCGGGACATATGCGCGACCGTGTTGCGAGGTGGATATTTACTTCAGCGCGTCGTCGCGCGTTATCAGCAATTTAACCACGTTTCCTAAGTATTGTACAAACCTGGTATGATGGGACTGCTTAGAGATAAATTTCAGTCTCGGTGACCGCTATAGAACAGCTCACTCGATAAGAGAAATAATCCGTGGTTTTATTGGCACGTACGAATACAGAGCAGATGACCGAGATCGCGGCGCTGATGCAAGGTCCGCCCGGCCCAGCAGTCCGAGGCCGTCCGGGTCGTCCTGGCTCACCTGGTCCACAAGGTCGCCCAGGTACACCAGCAACGAAATCGCGCCGCTATCAGCCTCACTTTAGCCGCAGTTAATCCGATATTTGTACACGATAAAGATGGCGGTGCTTCACACGGGTGGCTCTCGTTGGTATCTCTTTGCTATCGCCGGCGGGGAAATCCGTAGCTACACACGCCACAGAGCTACAACGCCGTAAAAAGCATCCTTAACGTTTGCCCAATAATCGTAGCGAGCATCTCGATGGTCATCGTCGTCATCGTTCCCGCCATCAGTCGCTTGAAATACCATCTTCATCCTTAGTTAGAGCTGGCATTCATCAGCGGCGTGATCCCCATTACCCGCAGATAAGCGCGCGTACATTCGATTAACAATCGATCGAGGTTTAACATGTCACGTTGCCGTGCGCCGATAAAGACGATGGAATCCTGCATGTGTCACAGAGAGGCTGAAAGAACTAACAGAGGGTCTTCGAGGGCCGTCCGGGTGGCCGGGATTGGTCCGACAGGGCCGTCCTGGCCGAGCCGGTACCCGAGGCATCCCAGGTACCTCTATATTCATTCGTGCAATGTATACCGAGATATCGTCATCCTGCGTGCATGTTACACTGTGATTTCGTCGAAAAATTCTCCTCGCAGACTCGACGACGCATCCGTGGTCGCTCCATTTGCCGCGTTCGACCATAGGCTTTGCACTTCCGTTTGATCTCTTTGTAAATTGTATTCGCATTTTTGCTATTCGTACGAACACTTTTTTGCGAGTCTTATTTCTTCGCCTTGTTGCAAATAATATTAACGCTTGTTTTTTGCAAATTTTATGTACTTATCGACAAAAAAATGAAATTCACTTATTTGTGGTTATTGATAATAGTATTCGTAGTAAATTTCTGAATTGAATGGCTTCTTATATCGTAATAATTATTCATGGTTGATAGAAATTAATTATCTGCCATGATATACGTGTGCCATTTTATAAATGGATACATTAATTCGTATTGAATTTAAAAATTGAATGAAACAGCCAATTTCAATCTGTGAAAAGATTAATTTCATCTGCAAAAAGGTGAATATGATCTATGAAATAATCAATTTGTAGTGCAAAACCTGTATCGCTAATATACAGTAATATATATATATATATATATATTTGTTATTATAATATTAATTATTGATATTATATATATAGTATTATATATATGGAATTATATATATAGTATTATTAATATTATATTATATATATTATATATATTTAAGTCACATTAGTAGATTCTTTTATTGCTAGATTGTTCATAGAATTGTGTTTACATCTTCCTGTGAATATCATGAAGATACGCTTTTCTAGTATAAATTTGAATATCAGAATAAATAGGTAGAATAAATAACAAAAGAGAGACGATGCTTTTTATACCAACTTTACATGATCGTGTTGCTTCTCTTTTGTAACAACATAGGTGATCCAGGTCCTCCAGGTCTGCCAGGAGAACGCGGCTTCGTAGGTCTACCCGGACCACAAGGTCCTATGGGTCCTCAAGGTCAAGTTGGCGAACGAGGAGAGAAAGGCGACAGAGGACCGGAAGGCTTCGGCGTCGAAGGTCCCGTTGGCCCTAGAGGATTGCCTGGTATTATTCAAACTTTTCTTTTTCAGTCGTAGTTTCAGACTCAGTTTAGTTTTCAAACAACCGTACTCGATTCTTATTGGTCACTGTTTTTCGTTGATAACTCGTTAACGGTGCCTCAGAGAAAATTTTCGTAAAGGAAGAAGTTGCTTCAAATGATCCGAGGAACCCGCCATTTCCGGATTACGAGACATTTTTGGGACACCCTGTATGTGCTGTCTCTTATACACATCTCAGCCGTACTCGATTCTTATTGGTCACTGTTTTTCGTTGATAACTCGTTAACGGTGCCTCAGAGAAAATTTTCGTAAAGGAAGAAGTTGCTTCAAATGATCCGAGGAACCCGCCATTTCCGGATTACGAGACATTTTTGGGACACCCTGTATGTGCTGTCTCTTATACACATCTCAGCCGTACTCGATTCTTATTGGTCACTGTTTTTCGTTGATAACTCGTTAACGGTGCCTCAGAGAAAATTTTCGTAAAGGAAGAAGTTGCTTCAAATGATCCGAGGAACCCGCCATTTCCGGATTACGAGACATTTTTGGGACACCCTGTATGTGCTGTCTCTTATACACATCTCAGCCGTACTCGATTCTTATTGGTCACTGTTTTTCGTTGATAACTCGTTAACGGTGCCTCAGAGAAAATTTTCGTAAAGGAAGAAGTTGCTTCAAATGATCCGAGGAACCCGCCATTTCCGGATTACGAGACATTTTTGGGACACCCTGTATGTGCTGTCTCTTATACACATCTCAGCCGTACTCGATTCTTATTGGTCACTGTTTTTCGTTGATAACTCGTTAACGGTGCCTCAGAGAAAATTTTCGTAAAGGAAGAAGTTGCTTCAAATGATCCGAGGAACCCGCCATTTCCGGATTACGAGACATTTTTGGGACACCCTGTATGTGCTGTCTCTTATACACATCTCAGCCGTACTCGATTCTTATTGGTCACTGTTTTTCGTTGATAACTCGTTAACGGTGCCTCAGAGAAAATTTTCGTAAAGGAAGAAGTTGCTTCAAATGATCCGAGGAACCCGCCATTTCCGGATTACGAGACATTTTTGGGACGCTTTGTATAATTTACTTCTGACGATGTTTTGTTAACAGGACCACCCGGTAACGATGGTATAGGATTGCCCGGCAGGCAAGGGGAACGGGGGGAAACGGGCAGACCAGGTAAGGAGAGAAAAAAACTTGCAAACATTTCCAAAATACTGTACCGGTGTCTTCAGTCACGTTTATTGACAGGTCCCGCAGGAAGGATGGGCCCACCTGGCCCGAAAGGTTTGCCAGGATTTTGCGAATCGTGCAATCACGATAGCTCCGGCTACTTACAGTACATCCGGAGCAACGAGAAAGGACCTTAAAATACGCAGCTGTATTTTTATAAGCTTATAAAGTACAATTAACATTTTAACGTGTCCACGAACGATAAAACTTTTTCCGCTCACATGTTTAAAAGTCTTTAAAAGACACTGCCACTTCAAGACAATACTCTATTAACATCGTGTATTTAAGTACGACAATCATGTTATTCCTTAAGAATAATTAATGCGAGTTATTACTTAATATGCTGGTCATTATATTACAATTGTATGTACAAATGTTCTCGTGCAGATAGTGCCGAATAAATATTTTTTAAGAAACAAGACATCGTTCCTCTTATCTTCAGCTTTTATAGTAAGGACGATTTTGCTGTTTACTTTCGGTTCTGCTCGACCGTTTCATTCAGAACCGTCATATAAACAGTTCAAAAACACTTATTTTCCAAACCTTCGCAATCCCCGGTTGACCTCTTGAATGGCAGGTTTCATTGAACAAAGATCTCGGTTAACCGCAAGAATTTTTCCGTGAATCGAAAAATTCGTCGAAGCCGCGTCGTTCGTATATTATTAGTAAACTAAACAGTTAGTAAATTCGAAATTCGTCGATCGCAAATCAAGGGATTCAGGCGGCAATCGCGCGCGCAATGGTCCGATTCCTCGTTCGCCCGTCCAGAGGAACGATGGCGCCACCGACGGTCCAGTGGCAGTCGAAATCAGTGATGGCCGCGAGGCTCCGGACGCACGTTACGTTGAGATTGTGCCCAGTTTGTTTATCGTAACGTTCTCGGCGACGCGAAGCGTTCGGCAGCCCCTCGTCCGGCGCAGACCGAAACGTGGACGCGTTCACGCGTGAGAAGTCCGCTCGCGCGAATCTCGTCGGTTCTGAACGGGCTTCGGAAACCGACGCGGTCCGGTCCTCTTGACAGTTCTCTGTCCCGTGTTTGCGTGCAGCAGTAGCCCAGACGAGTGCCGCGAGAAGTGTCGTCGCTGTCGTTAACTGTCGCCGCTCGGCCGACTTTCGCGGCGGTACTAAATGACGTCGTGTGTGTGAGATAAAACGATTAAGAAAGGATCCTTCGTCGACACAGGGACGGCAACCCCACACCCGTCGACGCATTTTTCTCTCAACGCTCTCTCTCTCTCTCTCGCTCTCGCTCGCTCTCTCACACCTTCGGCGAAGAGACACACGCGCATCGAGGACGACCAAGAGGTACGTACAATGTACCGGCAGGCCAGGTTAGGTGCATCGCCGTGTCTCGTGACGCCGTTACGAATTTCGTCCGAATTCGCACGCGTGCTTGCCAGCGTCTCAATATTTAACACAGAGTAATTATGCATACGCGTAATTATGCATAACCTTTCAGCGGCTCGAAATAACACGTCGCACCTTAACGACGACTAAGAAAAATCGGCGGATTCCGATCCCGTGTAATCGAGAAATCACGCGAACGAACGGATTTCATTATTTCTTATTCGCATACGATTTACCGCGACTAGTCTAAAAGAAAGCGGTCGAATTTCGCTATCGCGCGTCGGTAATGCAGGCAACTACGTTTCACGGGTTTTAACGTGGCGAACGTGTGTGTGTTCATTCTTCGCAAGCCGTCGTCCCCCTGATTTATTTACCGTTACGCTGTATTATAACGGCAACGATAAGCCCTGCCAAATGAGATTAACTTACGTACGCGTAGTTATACGGCGGTATAACGGACACCGTCGTCGCCGTCGTCCCGGCGCGGCGCGGCGCGGCGAGTGCACGTCCCCACCTGGCAAAGGAAGTGTTTGTTCCCTCCCCCGTTGAAACGGTGCTCCACTGACACGCGTTACTTCCTCTACTCGGCACCGGTCCAAAACATTATTCCCGATTGATTCGCGGCGGTCTAACGTCGGCAGTAAGCCTTCTGGAGCGACGGAAATCAATCTCGAACCCGATTTAAATATTACATCCTTGCGTCGCGTCCGAGGCGATCGACGAAATTTAGGAGGATCACTGTCAATCTTTAATCGGCCGATCTTTAAGCGTCCAGTGACGGATTTGATCGGCCCGGATCGATCCGGTGATCGGACGTGTGCATCCCGATCGCGACGAATCCGAAATTGACCGCGCCTTTTCGCGCACGTTCCTTTTCGCCACGTTCCTCCGTGCGTATATATACGCACCGAAACTGTCCCACATTCCGGGCCGTTCCTCTGTGTCTCTCCTCGGGCGATCTTATACACCCCCCACCTGGCCCACTTATTGTATTGATTCAAACTTAGGCATCCACGCGTTCCTTATTCCCTCGCGACTCGCTACACAACAGGATCTCTCTCTCTCTCTCTCTCTCTCTCTCTCTCTCTCTCTCTCTCGCTCTTTGTTACTCGGTGCTTTCTCGAGCGAACCTTTCTTTCGGCAATTCGCGGCGCGCAAAGACGCCGCGGATTCCGCGTCGCCGGGGAAATGCGCCCCGAAGAAAATGGCTGGCCGACGAATTCGAAAACTCGATACCCGGCGAGGTTCGTTGGCCCCGGCATAGGCTTCGGCTATGCTCCCTCGTGTCATTAATCCTTGCGCGAACATCCTGAAGCTACGGAAATGTACGGCGGACGGCGTTGTTGAAATCGGGGCACGTTTGAAGTGTATTTGTATTCGATATGGCGTTTCGTGTGTAACGTGTTGTTTTATTTCGTGGTTATTTTCGCGCTTGCGATCATTTCTGATATATAATATTTTATAGAGATAATATAATATTTGAAATATTATTTTAGAAATGATCGCAAGCACGAAAATAACTATGAAATAATATTTCAAATGTTATTGTAATATGTGTTATTGTAATATTAGTGATTATTTCTGAGATAACATATTAGTTGAAATAATATATCAAATAATATATTATCTCTATGAAATATTGTTATTTGAAATAATATTTCAAATAATATGTTATCTCCATGAAATATTGTTATTTGAAATAGTACTTCAAATAGTATGTTATCTCTATGAAATATTGTTATTTGAAATATTATTTCAAATAATATGTTACCTCAGAAACGATCACAAATAACATTTGAAACAATATTTCAAACAATATGTTATCTTATTTAGTAGTTGTTGGAAATAATTAATAGAGCTAAGTTTAACGTTTGTGACTGCATTACATCTTTTCGCTTGAAATAAATTTTTGTGAAGATTTCACAAAATAACCTTTAACTGTATAATATCGGAGTCTCGACTCTTAATGCAGATTAAACGTACGTGGAACCTGCTAAATTCACTTGGGTATCTTTTTACATGACACGGTTCATATTTCCACGGTTCCTTTTCACTCTTAACACGTGTAAATCTCAGTTAGACGATCCTTTTTCAAACGTTTTATCTTTACCCGCGTTTGCTCGGGTTTTTTTTTTGACTCAGTAGTAGGAAAAATATCGTTGCTTTATAAATTAATCTTACTCTAATGCCCGAGTCGAATAAAATGTTTTTTTAGCGAACGTATATTTTCGATTGCTTCTTGTAAATTCGCATCAAGTTTTATGCTCTGTTGGGAATCAATGTTTTGGAAAAATTCGCGGTATTTTTTGATCCGGATTAATCTCTGAGTCTCTTCTCCGAGGCACCGTTAACGAGTTATCAACGAAAAACAGTGACCAATAAGAATCGAGTACGGCTGACGCGAGGCCTGTCTCTTATACACATCTAGATGTGTATAAGAGACAGACGAAAAACAGTGACCAATAAGAATCGAGTACGGCTGACGCGAGGCCTGTCTCTTATACACATCTAGATGTGTATAAGAGACAGACGAAAAACAGTGACCAATAAGAATCGAGTACGGCTGACGCGAGGCCTGTCTCTTATACACATCTAGATGTGTATAAGAGACAGACGAAAAACAGTGACCAATAAGAATCGAGTACGGCTGACGCGAGGCCTGTCTCTTATACACATCTAGATGTGTATAAGAGACAGACGAAAAACAGTGACCAATAAGAATCGAGTACGGCTGACGCGAGGCCTGTCTCTTATACACATCTAGATGTGTATAAGAGACAGACGAAAAACAGTGACCAATAAGAATCGAGTACGGCTGACGCGAGGCCTGTCTCTTATACACATCTAGATGTGTATAAGAGACAGACGAAAAACAGTGACCAATAAGAATCGAGTACGGCTGACGCGAGGCCTGTCTCTTATACACATCTAGATGTGTATAAGAGACAGACGAAAAACAGTGACCAATAAGAATCGAGTACGGCTGACGCGAGGCCTGTCTCTTATACACATCTAGATGTGTATAAGAGACAGACGAAAAACAGTGACCAATAAGAATCGAGTACGGCTGACGCGAGGCCTGTCTCTTATACACATCTAGATGTGTATAAGAGACAGACGAAAAACAGTGACCAATAAGAATCGAGTACGGCTGACGCGAGGCCTGTCTCTTATACACATCTAGATGTGTATAAGAGACAGACGAAAAACAGTGACCAATAAGAATCGAGTACGGCTGACGCGAGGCCTGTCTCTTATACACATCTAGATGTGTATAAGAGACAGACGAAAAACAGTGACCAATAAGAATCGAGTACGGCTGACGCGAGGCCTGTCTCTTATACACATCTAGATGTGTATAAGAGACAGACGAAAAACAGTGACCAATAAGAATCGAGTACGGCTGACGCGAGGCCTGTCTCTTATACACATCTAGATGTGTATAAGAGACAGACGAAAAACAGTGACCAATAAGAATCGAGTACGGCTGACGCGAGGCCTGTCTCTTATACACATCTAGATGTGTATAAGAGACAGACGAAAAACAGTGACCAATAAGAATCGAGTACGGCTGACGCGAGGCCTGTCTCTTATACACATCTAGATGTGTATAAGAGACAGACGAAAAACAGTGACCAATAAGAATCGAGTACGGCTGACGCGAGGCCTGTCTCTTATACACATCTAGATGTGTATAAGAGACAGACGAAAAACAGTGACCAATAAGAATCGAGTACGGCTGACGCGAGGCCTGTCTCTTATACACATCTAGATGTGTATAAGAGACAGACGAAAAACAGTGACCAATAAGAATCGAGTACGGCTGACGCGAGGCCTGTCTCTTATACACATCTAGATGTGTATAAGAGACAGACGAAAAACAGTGACCAATAAGAATCGAGTACGGCTGACGCGAGGCCTGTCTCTTATACACATCTAGATGTGTATAAGAGACAGACGAAAAACAGTGACCAATAAGAATCGAGTACGGCTGACGCGAGGCCTGTCTCTTATACACATCTAGATGTGTATAAGAGACAGGCCTCGCGTCAGCCGTACTCGATTCTTATTGGTCACTGTTTTTCGTTGATAACTCGTTAACGGTGACTCGGAGAAAATGTTTGTAAAGGAAAAAGTTGCTTCGAATGACCCGAGGAACCCGCCACTTTTGGATTGCGAAACATTTTTGGGACTCCCTGTATAATAATAATAATATAAATTATATAATATACCGTTGTATTATTATATTATTATATTATATAGTTACCGTTATATTATTATTACAACCGTCCGAATAAATCGAACGTAGACTTTTCATCGAAGCGAACAGAACGACGGTTCTGTTCCACTCGCCGCACATTTTTGTCGTTGAACCCCGCGGAATGTATATCGAAATTAACATCGGCCGGTAAATAAAGCTCGTTCATGCGCGAATATGCATGAATGCCGCGGTCTAATAAAATAACGATTTGTCAGCCGGCGTAAAAGCTGACGCAGTTTCGCCTCGATTTGTCACTGCCGCTTCTATATTTACCAAGCTTTCTACGTTTTGTCTGGCACGCGGCGATATTAACCAGATCCGCGAGAAAGCTTTGTTCGAATAACCGAGCCAGCTTCCGTCGGTTATTCAAACTCAGGACTCGTTCGTTCGACTACTTCGCCGAACACAATAATTCACTTTGATGTATTTCACGGCATCGAATCCCCGGCATTAATCCCTAATGGTTGTCAATTAAATGCTAGGCGAAGCTGTGTATATCTCTGCGTAGAGCCTAAGTTGTATCCTAACTTGTTTATCCTAACTTATACCTAACTTGTATCGCCGAGCCTAATTATAACTGGAAAAAAAATTTGTATTTCTTTTCCCTTCGTATTTTTTCTCATTGACTCAATTCTAAAATGCATAGCAACACTCACACGCCTAACTTGTTTATCCTAACTTATACCTAACTTGTGTC